TTAGAACAAGTTCTATTTTGAAATTAAAAATTGTATTCATACTAAGAAAAATACTTTCCATATTTATATTTTACTTTTTTCTTTTTACTTGTCAATGTAAACTTTTTTCATTAATGTTTTATTACTTAATAGTAGATATGCATACAAAGTTGCCTCTATATGCTTGTCAGTAGCATACAAAATTATTTTTTCTACATTCAAATAAAACAAGAAAAAATAGTAGAAAAGTATAAAAAATTTTAAGAAGTAAAACGACTGCAACATTTTCGATCAAATTGATAATCGATGTTTTGAAAATTTTATTAAAATAAACATTCAATGTTCTTAATATTCGTTCAAATTAAAATTCGATATTTTTAAAATTCAATCAAATAAGCATTCGATATTTTAGAAGTTCATCATAAAAAGTATTCGATTTTTGTAAATTCGATCTAATCTTTATTCGATCGTTTATAACTTCGGGAAATTTCATACGACCATTAATTTAGTTAAATATCATTGCACTTTAAAATTCCGCGCTTTTTTCACAACTAAGTTTCCAAAAGAAATGTTCTTAAATAAAAATTTTGTTTCATTAAACGCGAAAAATAATGTAACTTCTTTTATCTTTTCAAAGAAATTAAAATTAATTAAAATTAAAATAAATAAAAATAAAATTTAACAAACATATTTTAGCCCCTGGAAAGTTAATCCGAGACCTGTTATTAGAGAAGATATCAAAGTTAGTTTCAGATCAACCTCCGCAAATTCCATTTTTTTCTAAGGTATATTTTTAATTATTTTTATTATATTATATATTATTATATATTAGATGTGTTCTAATGAAAGTGTTCTTTTTGTTTTAGGGCAACGCTTTTCAATTGCAGTTTAACATATTTTCAACGCTTCAACGCTGTTGCAGTTTTAACAAAATTTGTTTTCTATTTCTGTCATCTATGTGCTTTTTTCATTTTATGTCTTTTTTTTGGTTCAGATTTTCTGATGCTTCATGTCAATATCTTTTTCTTTTGTACAATGTGTTTCGCTTTTTCATGTTAATATTTTTTCTCTGTTTCAAATTATTGTTTGTTGTTTCACGATGCAATATTTTTTTCATTTCTGTGTAAAAATACATTATGTTTTTTTAAACATTATATATTTATTATGTATTTCTTAAATTTAAACATTCGTAAATCCAGTGATGTACGCGCGCCAACCCCTTACCTCTATTTTTATAGAACTCTGTGATTTGACCTTATATTGAGGATATGTTTGCCCTCTGCCCTTTGACCTAATACTGAGGATATTATTGAGGATATGTTTGCCCATTACCCTTTGACCTAATTTTGAGGTTATGTTTGCCCTCTGCCCTTTGACCTTAATACTGAGGATATTATTGAGGATATGTTCGCCCACTTTGACCTAATTTTGAGATTATGTTTGCCCTCTGCCCTAATATTGAAGATATGTTTGCTCTCTGCCCTAATTTTGATGTTATGTTTTCCCTCTGCCCTTTGACCTAAAATTGAGGATATGTTTGCCCTCTGACCTAATTTTGATTTTATTTTTGCCCTCTGCCCTTTGACCTAATATTGAAGATATGTTTGCCCTCTGTCCTTTGACCTAATTTTGAGGTTATGTTTGCCCTTTTGACCTAATATTGGGGATATGTTTGCCATCTTCCCTTTGACCTAATTTTGATGTTATGTTTACCCTCTGCCCTTTGACCTAATTAATATTGAGGATATGTTTTCTCTTTGCCCTTTGACCTAATATTGAAGATATGTATGCTCTCCAACCTATCATACTGACCTAATTTTGAGGTTATGTTTACCCTCTGTCCTTTGACCTAATTTTGAGGTTATGTTTTTCCTCTGCCTTTTGACCTAATATTGATGATATGTTTGCCCTCTGACCTAATATTGAGGATATGTTTGCTCTCTAACCTATGATACTGACCTAATTTTGAGGTTCTGTTTGCTTTATAACCTATCATTTTGACCTAATTTTTAGGTTCCTGAAAATTTTTATTCAATATTCAATATTCTATAATTAATATATTTTTTTCAGCGGTCCTTCGGAATACAATATATTTCTGTCAATGTTATTAATATTGTCGCAAATAAATTGTGCTCCACATTAAAAGCAAAGTCTCAAAAAAAGTTTTATTTTTCGAACTCGAAAAAAATTAGAATTTGTAATTATTTTAATTTAATAATACCAAAAATCTGCAAATAATAATCTGTAAGTGTAAATTTGTAATTATTCACATCATAGAATCAAACTCAATTGAATTTTAAAGACTTTGCTTTTATTGTGTTCAATCGGAGAAAAAACAAATTTCTTCAAAGTGTTCAGTATTTATTTTATAAAAATAAATATTGAATTACTAAGATAAATATTTATTTTTATTTGATTCAAAGAAATTATTCTTGATTGAAATAAAAACTTTTCTCTCGTTTGAAGGGAGGAGTGGATTAGGCCTATGACACACATTAGTCCAATTACAAATTCAAATGCGTTAAAATTGTAAACGTGTTTTGCTATAAATTTGTGATTGGAAGAACTTTGTGTGCAATGGGGATACCATACAAAAGCGCGTCTGATGTTCAACCTCTTGGGTGACGCGGAATAGAACATAAAATTTTATATTTTTTTTAAATAAAATTATACAGCTGTGCAAAATAGTTGTGCAATTTTTTTGTTTTTTAAAGTCTAAGTAGTACAAGTCAATGTCAGTCAGACTATTTAATTTCTTCTTTTAAAACATGAGGATGAAATAATTCACGAATAATTTATTAAAAAAACAATATATGTGATTTCTACAAATTCCAAAATGTCAGTAGTACAAGTCAATCTTGGTCAGACCGTTTTTTTAAAATCAATAAATACCAATATACTATCATAAATAAATGAAATCAATTAAATAATAAAAATCTATTTAAAGCCTACGAAACACGTCATTTTTACAAAATAAAAAATTTCAGTAGTATAAATCAATGACAGTCAGACAGTTTGATTTCCGTATTTCTATACAAATTGTCAATTCTGTTTAAATTTAATCAAATCATATAATAAAATGGTTTATAAAAATACTGAAATATTTGATTTCTACAAAATCCATAATTTCAGTAGTACAATTCGATCGTGGTCAGACCATTTTTTTAATATTAATAAATACTAATATACTATCAATTGAATTGAAATCAAATGAAATCAATTAAGTAAAAAAAATTCTATTTGAAGCCTTCGAAATACGTCATTTCTAAAAATTCAAAAATTTCAGTAGTACGAGTCAATGTCTATCACACTGTTTTTTCACAATTATTTATAATATAAGTACCTAAAATTATTAATTTTACACAAATAGAATTATAATGTCATAATAAAAAAAATTATTTCAAGCGTTCAAAATATGTGATTTTTACAGATTTAAAATTTTTAGTAGTACAAGTCAATAACAGTCCAGACTATTTAATACCTCCTTCATTATATAAATATTAAATAAACCACGACTAATAAAGAAAAGTAACAGCATAATAGTAAAAATTTCTATCAATCAATCCAAATATGATATAATTTTCGCAAAATTTGCAATTTGAGTAGTACAAGTCAATTATAGTCAGACTGCAATTTCCATTAACATTATTATAAATCATAGAAAAATGTTCCAATTCTATAAAAATTAAAATCAATAGCAAAAGAAAGAAATTAATGCAAAAAATACCAATCCAAATCATCAAATTTTAAAATTTTTAGTAGTACAAATAAATTATAGTCAGACTTTAATTTAATAAATAATAGAAAAATGTACGAATTTTTATAAAAATTAAAATCATTCGCAGAAAAAACAAAAAGAATGAAAAATCAATCGAAATTGTCAAATTTCCAAATTTCAGTAGTACAAGTAAATTATAGTCAGGCATTAATTTACCGTCAACGTTATAAATAATAAAAAAAAGTATCAACTTTATATAAATTAAAATCATTATTAAAAGAAAGAAGAAGATTTAAGAAAATCAATCGAAATTGTCAGATTTGAAAATGTAAGTAGTTCAAGTCAATTATAGTCAGACTTTAATTTACCGTGAACATTATAAATAACACAAAAAAGTATTGTTTTTATAAGAAAAATACAATCAATAGCAAAAGAAAGAAAAGAATGCTAAAAATACCAATCCAAATCATTAAATTGTAATATTTCAGTAGTACAAATCAATTATAGTCAGACTTTAATTTAATAAATAATACAAAAATGTACCAGTTTTTATAAAAATTATAATTATTAGCAAAAGAAACAAAAAGAATAAAAAATCAATCGAAATGATCAAATTTACAAATTTCAGTAGTACAAGTAAATTATAGTCGGACATTAATTTACCGTTAACGTTATAAATAATAGAAATAAAGTATCAATTTTATATAAATTAATATCATTATCAAATAAAAGAAAATGATTAAAAAAAATCAATCGAAATCGTCAGATTTGAAAATTTAAGTAGTTCAAGTCAATTATAGTCAGACTTTAATTTATCGTTAATATTGTAAATAATAGAAAAAAGTATATCAATTTTACAAAAATTATAATCAAAATTAAAAGAATGAAGGGAAAACAAAAAAGAGCGAATGAAATCGCAAAAAATGTCAAAACTTCAGTAGTACGAGTCAATCATAGTCAGACCGTAAATTTATTATTATTTCTCACTGTCAATTTTCGTGGTTTTTTCCCACATATTTTCAATATAAAAATTTTGTTTTAATTTTCTCTCATTGTCACTAAATCCCTGTAAGTTTTCTTTCCTATTTCTCAAGTGTATTACGGGTTGTATGTCAACAGGGGTTCATGATCCATATTATTTTTCGCCAAAAAAAATCATTACTCTTATTTTTGTAAATACTTCTAATAATTACTTTTATATTTTGTGAATATTATATTAGTGAATATTTTTTCATCATTTATTTTAATTTTTATGCATAAATTCACAAAACGAAATTTTTTTTATTGAAAAGAAAATACTTACTACCTCTTTGGCATTATTCACAGTTGAATTTTCAATTTTTCCATCAACTTCCGTTTTTGTATTCAATTGATGGACAAGATGCTGTAAAATCCATTTTGGCGATGATATTGTTTCCAAAACTGACATCAATCGTCTCGCCAATATTGAAAGTAATAATTTACATGGCAATGAACTGCCAAGTTCCCATTGTAAAAATTCACGTGCTATAACTGTCACTAGACGACCTAAAGTATGTTCAAGAGCTGCTGAACTTCTTGAACCAGGATGTGAATAATTGTAGGCCTCTTCAATTGTTCCGGCATTTCCTTTTTCGACACGTCGAACTGCCCTGTGAAAAATTTTTTCGTGACAGTATAAAAAATAAGGAAAAAAAACTTAGGAAAGAAAAAAATAAGAAATTAAAAATAAAAGGTAAGAAATAGAAAATAAAAACGTAAAAAAATAAAAGAATTAATGAATTGTAAGAAGTAAGAAATAAAAAGTAAGAAATAAGGAAAATAAAAGGTAAAAAAATAAGGGAAAAAAGTATGAAATCAAAAATATACAAAGGCACGAAATAAAAAGTAAGAAACAATTAGGAAATTAAAAATAAATGGTAAGAAAAGAGGAGAAACAAGTAAAAAAAGTAGGAAATAATAAATAAAAGGTACGAAATAAAAAGTAAGAAAAAAGGTAAGAAATTAAAAATAAAAGGTAAAAAGTAAAAAGTAAGAAATGAGGAATTTGCAATAAAAGGTAAGAAATTTAAAAAAGGCAAAAAACAAAAAGTAAGAAATCAGAAAAAGGTAAAAAAAATTAAAAGGTAAGAAAAGAGAAGTAAAAAGTGAGAAATAATAAATAAAAAGAATTGAAATAAAAGTAAGAAATAAAAGCAAATGTTAAGAAAAAAATAAAATAAAAGATAAAAGATAAAAAATTAACAATGAAAGATAAGAAATAAAAAGTCAGAATTAAAGAATAAATTGTAAGAAATATGTATAAAAAGTTAGAAATTGAAAAAAATGATAAAAAATAAGAAAAAAGGTAAGAAATAAAAATTGAAAGGTATGAAAAGGGAAGTAAAAAGTAAGAAATAATAAGTAAAAAAAGTAGGAAATAATAAATGAAAGAAACGAAATAAAAATAAATAAATAAGGAACAATTGCTAAAAAAATAAAAAATAAGAAAAAAGGTAAGAAATTACAAAAAGGCAAGAGACAAAATGTAAGATTTAAAGAGTAATGTTAGAAAATGGTAATAAATAGGGAAAAAAGTAGGAAATTAAAAATAAAAGATAAAAAAGAGAACTAAAATGTAAAAAACAAGACGTAAAAAATTAAAAAATAATAAATAAATGGTAAGAAATAAATGAAAAGTAAGAAATATTGAAATATTGAAAGTAAGAAATAAAAATTAAAATGTAAAAAAAAAAAGAAATAAAAAATGAATAAACAGAGATTAATAATTGTGAATGTAAATAAAAACATGTAAATAATAAATATCAACAATAAAAATTAAACACAATAAAATTTAATTAAAAGTATTATTTTTTCAAAAATTGACAAACCTTCGATATTCCTTAAGATGAACAATTAAAACACCAGCCAATTTATCAACAATTTGAATTTTCTCCACATTTTTAATACGCTCATTCAATCCCAATGATAATTTTAAAATTAAATTTTTCGCCTCCTGAGAAAATTGTTTATCATCACTTATATTTTCATACCATATTTGAATGAATTTATTATCAATTTCATTCACTATTTTTCCACTTAAATTTTCCGATGACAATTCATCTTCTTTTTTATTGTTAATATTAATCGAAAAATTAATTTCCCCTTTATTTTTATCATCATTATTATCATTATTATTATTTTTCATCAATTTTTTTCTATTCAACAAAAAACGCGATTGAATGTAAAAATCAAATTTTTTACGCAAATAAATTGAAATTGGATGTAATGTTATTGATGAATCAGCCTTTATTATATGTTTAAAAATAATACAACTTATCCACGTTGATAATATTGTAACAACAAATGCCCACAATATTGGAAAATAAATTGGCAGTGAAGATGAATAAATCCAATGTTGTGTTATTAGACACAATATAATACACGATAAACTCGATAAAAAAATTAATTGTCCGGATGAATTCATTTTTATTTTCGAGGGGGCAAAATTTGTCCTTTTCAGTATTACACTTTAGGAAAATAAATAAATAAATACTCTCGGGATGTGTTTACAAAATTTTTATATACATACATACTGAAATATTGTCATGGAATTTAGAAAAAGCAAGTTTTGCTTTATATGTTTTATACGGATTGAGTATCAAGACCCTTTTTTCGAAGACATGATATCAGTGCAGAAATTGATTTTTAAGAAAAATAGAAAAAAGAATTTTTTTTATAAAAAGAATATAATTTTATTACTAGTGGAAATTTTTTTCCCCATAGGTATTATAATTTTTTAAAAATTTATTTTCAAAATAGGAAAAAATTTCATTTCGATTTTTAATTTTTCAAATACCGACTTTAGGTAACAATGGAAATTTTCAATTTCAAGGGAAATTTGACCTAAAAGTTTCGAAAATAACCGCTAGTGTATTTATTGGCGTGTAGGAATTGATTTTTAGGAAAAATGGAAAAAAAATGGTTTTTTTATAAACAAATATAATTTTAATTAAATAGTTTTACGTCCGTCACTTATTAAATTATTAAATTAAATACCTATTATTTTCTAAAAATTTTAAAAATTCTTGGAAACAATTAAATTTTTTTTAAAAAATGTAAAATTCTTGGTAAGAATTCAATTATTTTTGTAAATAATAAAATTCTTCTGTGAAATTCAATTCATTTTAAAAATTGTATTAAAAATTTTCTAAACAATTCAATTGTTCAAAAAAAATTTTTAACAAAATTTCTTCGTAAAATTCAATTATTTTATTTAAAGAATTTTAATAAAAATCTTTCCAAAAATTAAATTATTTTCAAAACAATTTGAATTACATTTTGTCGAAAGAATTCAATTATTATTGAAAAAATATTGATAAAATTCTTAAAATGAATTCAATTATTTTCAAATTTTTTTATATTTTTCACTCCTATGAAAAATTCAATTATTTTTTTTAAATAATTGAATTTTCTCGGAGAATTTTTAAAAGATTTTTTGAATTAATTGAAATTTTCGAAGAAATTAATTAAAATCGTATTGAAAATAATTAAATAAGTGAAATCCTGATAAGAATTTTATTATTTATATAAAAATAATTGAATTTTTTACGAAGATTTTTATTATTTATAAATTGACTTTTTTTCAAAGAATTTTATTACAATTATTATTGAAAATAATTGAATTCTTTATAAAATTCAATTACTATCAAAATTTTCAGTAAAAATTATTAAAAAGAAAACTCTACTATTTTTAAGAATACTGAAATAAATTCTCAAAAATAATTCAATTAGGATTTTAAAGAATTTTAATAAAAATTTTGACAAGAATTAACATATTATCAATACAATTTTAATTACTATTTCTCGAAAGAATACAATTATTTTTAAAAAAAATTAAAATAAAATTCAATTATTTGTAACAGTTTCAATAAAATTTTTAAGAAAAATTAATTATTTTAAACGTTTTAAAAAAAGTTTTCGATTGAATCCATTTATATTTTCAAAAATTAAAATTAAATACACAATATTAAATATTTTTAAAAATATTAAATAAATTCGATTATTTTCAAGAATTTTAATATGAATTCAATTATTTTCAACAATTTTGATAAAATTCTTTTAAAGCAATCATTAGTTTCAAAAATTTTTAATAAAATTCCTTCAAAAAATTAAATTATTTTTAAAAATTCAGATAAAATTCTTCGAAACAATTCAATTATTATTATGAATTGTAAAATCCTTTGCAAGAATTTAATTATTTTCATAAATAAGAAAATTCTTCGCAAGAATTAAAATATTTTTATAAATAATAAAATTCTTTGCAGGAATTCAATTAATTTATAAAATTTTTACAAATTCTTGGAAACAATTAAATTATTTTTATAAAATGTAAAATTCTTGGTAAGAATTCAATTATTTTTGTAAATAATAAAATTCTGAGAAATTCAATTTTTTTTAAAAATTGTAATAAAATTTTTCTAAACAATTCAATTGTTCTAAAAAATTTTTTAATAAAATTCTTTGTAAATTTCAATTACCTATTATGAAAATTTTTAAATTCAAATTACTTAAGTAAATTATTATTATATTATTTTATTTTATTTCTAAAATAGTAAATAATTAATTTCGTTTCAATTTTTCAAATACCAACTTTAGATAAAAATGAAAATTTTCAATTTCCAAGAAAATTTGACCTAAAAGTGTTGAGAATAACCGCTAGTCAGTTTAGTGGCGTGCAATGTCAATTTCCAAGTAACCGCACTCTGGAGAACATTCTCAGAAACCAATAATAATCTACCCATCTCTTCTTCTATAGTAAACTTGTATATCAGCATTTATTCTGTCGTCGTGTGTTTCACTGTGAAAAAAAAATTGTTCCTTTACTTTTCCTTTGGTGTTTGAAAGAAAAAAAAACAAATTTTCATCGGCAACTTTTTTTTCTCATCGATTTGACATTGAAAATAATTTGCAAAGAAAAAAAAAATTAAAAAGAATGACAACACCAGTGGTAATTGAAGCTACAGCAAAGCACACTGCAACAGTAAGTTTCTAGAAAAAAATATATATTCCAAGAAACATTGATTTACATTCATTTTTTTCAAAAAAAAATTTTTTTTATATTCATCTATTATTACTAGAAACGTCAAGTAAAATCGAACTTAAGTTGATTAATATATATGTGCCTTACGTAATTGATTCTTCCGGAAAGTTATAAAGGTCTATGTATATATACATATGTAGAGCAATCGTATATATATATATATATATATATATACATATATATATATCCAATTAAGTCAAATATGTAAAATTAAGAATTGAGAATAAAAAAAATTTCTTGTACCTATGAAAGAAAATTTTTTACTAAAAAAAAAAGTTTTTGCTATATAAAATTTTAGGCACTTTTAAGAAGAAAAATTATTTTCAAAAATAACTAATTTTTCTTATATGTGAATAAAATATATTCATAATAAATATAAACTATTAATATTGAAACATATTTTTTGGTTCATTTAAAGAAATAATATATTTAATTCAAACATAATTTACAGTTGATTTTTAATTATTTATAATCAACTTTTAAATTTTGAATCAAATATATTTAAATAAATAATTTTTTTGCATAAAAGCAATAGATATTTTCTATATTTTGAGAATTGAGTTTAAAAAACTAATTTAAATTAAAATTATTGAAAATTATTTTTGTATTTCATTTAATTAAAATGTTTTCTCAGTGTACATTTTCCTTGGTAAATATAAGTAAAAATATGCATTTTTCTCACATTAATATTTGCATTAATCTTATTCAATTTTAATAGAGGAAATGGACAATGTATTATCATAAATGATAATTCTTCTAATTAATCAAAATTCTAAGTACAATGAATACAGAAATAATTTTTAATTTATTATCAATGATAATTTTCTTTTTTCAGTTAATATTCTTGCATGGATTGGGTGACACTGGGTGAGTATTTAAATTTTTAATTTTCCCCCATTCAGTAAATCGAATGTTAAAAATTTTTTTTTTTTTGAGACAAAACATTTAAATGAAAATAAATTTAAAAAATGAATATAGAAACATTTCTTTTAGAAATTTTGAAAAAAAAAATTTTCCACCTGAACGAGTAAATTTTGAAACTTTATTACACTAAATGAGGATTTTTTAAATCATTTTTAAGGTTGTAAATTAATTAAGATTAATTAGGATTAATTAATATTAATTAAGATTAATTAAATTATTTAAGATTTTAAATTAATGATCTAAATTGTCATGTTAAGTTGGTCAAAATTTAGACCTAATTTTCAGATTAGGTTGAATTGTAAATTTTAGTTTAGGTTTTTAAAAATACGTTAAACTTTTCACGTTCTCTCTTTATTCTTCTTTCTATAAATTTTAAACAGCTGATGTTCTGTTAGTAGATTTTGACCTAAAAACAATGTTAATTTTGACCTAAATTTGAACTTAAATTGTTGATTTCACATATATGTAAATTTCAAAATTAGCTTAGGGTTTATAGAGTTAGAGTTTATAAAAGCCACTTTGTAGATTAATTTTGACCTAAATACAGCAATGTTAAGTTGGTCAAAAGTTAGACCTAATTTTCAGATTAGGTTAAACTGTAAATTTTTAAAAATACGTTAAACTTTTCACGTTCTCTCTTTTTGCTTCTTTCTATAAATTTTAAACAGCTGATTTCGAAATTAACTTAGAGTTCATGGAGTTAGAGTTTAATTTAGAGTTTATAAAAGCCACTTTGTACATTAATTTGGACCTCAATAGCAATGTTAAGTTGGTCAAAATTTAAACCTAATTTTCAGATTAGGTTTAAATTAATTAAACTGTAAATTGAGGTTTAAATTTTTGAAAATACGTTAAACTTTTCACGTTCTCTCTATAAATTTCTAACCGCCGATGTTCTGTTAGTAGATTTTGACCTAAATAACAATGTTTATTGTGACCTAAATTTGATCCTAAATTATTGATTTCACTTATACTTGAATTTCGAAATTAGTTTAGGGTTTATAGAGTTAGAGTTTAATTTAGAGTTTGTAGGTTAATTTTGACCGAAACAGTAACGTTAAGTTGGTCAAAATTTAAACCTAATTTTCAGATTAGGTTCAACTGTAAACTTTTAAAAATACGTTAATCTTTTCTCATTCTCTATTTATCCTTCTTTCTATAAATTTCATACCGCTGATGTTCTGTTAATACATTTTGACCTAAATAACAATGTTAATTTTGACCTAAATTGGAACCTTAATTGTTGGTCTCCACGTAAATTACGATATTAGGCTAGAATTCTCCTTTAATATTTGTGAATGTAGAAGCCACTTTCTAGGTTAATTTGGACCTAAATCGCAATGTTAATTTGTTCAAAATTTAGACCTAATTTTAAAATTAGGTTAATTTTTATTAAAATTTTTAATAATACGTTAATTTTTGTACGCATTTTATTTTTTCTTCTTTCTTTAAATTTCTAACAGTCAAATGTTAGAAATTTAAAGAAAGAAGAAGGTTCTTGTTAATGTATTTTGACCTAAATAACAATGTTAATTTTGTCCTAAATTGGAACCTTAATTGTTGGTCTCCACGTGAATTTCGAGATTAGGTTAGAATTCTTTCTTAATATTTGTGATTATTAAGGGTGAATATTAAGGCTACTTTGTAGATTAATTTGTACCTAAATGACAATGTTAATTTAGTCAAAATTTGGACCAAATTTTAAGTCCAAAAATTTAAATTTCAAAATTAAATTGCTATGTTAATTTAGATTTAAATTATTAAACATATGTTAAACTTCTTTTCTAACGGTTGACGTTTCTTGAGTAAATGTTAACACTTGGTCATTGATAGACCTAAAATTTAAAAGTTGTGACTTGGGGAGTGAATTTTAACCTCAGTATATTAAAAGTTTATTGAAATTTAACCTAAAATTGACCTAAAATGTGTTACGGTCATTTTTCCACTTCACTTTAGATTTTCAAATTGAAAAATTGATTTTCTTTAGATTTTCAAATTGTATTTTGAATAAATAAAATTGTTTGCCTTTACATAATTGACCTAAAAATTAAAATTTTGACCTAAATGTTTTGACCTGAATTTGAGATTAATTTATTTACAGACATGGCTGGGCTAGTTCTATGGGTGCTGTAAGATCTTCCTACATGAAAGTTATTTGTCCAACGGCGTAAGTTTTAAAAACAAATAAAAATTAGAATTAGGGAAACATACAGTCAGGGTTGGATTTTCTTTTTTGAATTTGAATTCTTTTGTAGATAGTAATTCCAATAATAGAACTCATTTTCCTTATTTAAAAAAGAAGTTATAAAGAAACTTCAAAATGTGGTCCAACCTAGACTATGTTCCCTTATTATATGTAATAAATATATTAATATTACGGAAAATTTAGTAAAATATCAAGAAATAATTGTAAAATATTCTAATTTCAATTTAACCATTCCTTTAGGCCCACGATGGCAGTTACATTGAACGCTGGATTCCAGATGCCATCTTGGTAATAGAAGATAAACACCAATTTTATTTTAAATTAAAAATAATTTTTTTAATTACTTCAATTAAAAATAATTAACTAATTGAAATTTTAAACTATTCGATTTTGATGAAATTATAATTATAATTATAATTTTCATAAGTAGATGAACTTCAAAAGATTTTGATTTGAAATTTTGTAAAATTTCAATTTGAAATGAATTTAATTAGAAATATTAAAAAACTTAAATTTAAAAAAAAATTTGACAACTAACATTCTTCTGAAATTAGTTAAATTTTTAAATATATATTTAATTTAATTAATTATTAAAAATAATTGGATTTATAGAAGAATTTTAGTTATGAACATTAAAACAAATTGAATTTTGAAGTAATTACAAATGGTGGCAGAAATTCAATTATTTTCAAAAGTAGTAAAATTCCTCTGAGAAATTCAATTATTTTCAAAAATTTTACTAAAATTCTTGTTAAAATTCTAATTATTTTTATAATTAAATAATTGAATTCTCGTAGAATTTTCAAATAAATATTGATTTAAAAATGAATTTCAAATTAAAATCTTTAAAAATTTGAACTTTTCATACTTTTAATTAAGAATTCTTTAGAATTAATTTTTCTCAATAATAATAATAATAATAATATAATAATAATAATAATAAAAATAATTTTTGTTAAAAACAAACAAAAAAAGGTTTGACCTAAAATCATTGGAGTCAACTGGACCTGAAGATGAAGTGGGAATTCGTAAAGCTGCCGGAATGGTGCATTCATTGATAGCAAAGGAAATTGGTCTTGGTATACCGTCGAATAGAATAGTTATTGGCGGTTTTAGTCAAGGTGGTGCTCTAGCAATATTTAGTGCTCTCACTTATCCACAACCATTAGCCGGAATTATTGCTTTGTCCGCTTGGCTTCCTTTGCATCAAAAATTCCCAGCGGTAAGATATTATTTTTTTTTTCACCTAAATTTTTTAATTTACATTCAATTCTTGACCTATGATTGTTGACCTGAACTGAAATACAGTATTACAATCAACTGATGATAAGTGATTATTGATGTTAATTTTTAAGAATTCATATTTTGTTCATATTTTCACTTGTAATTGTTGATTGATAACTTAAGACATAATGTTCGCCTCTTGACCTATAATAATACTTAAACTTAAAAATTACTACTTCTTGACCTAATTGACCTGTGAAATAAAGTTTAAACGTTGACCTAAACGTTGGTGATTAATGATCTGAATTTAAAAATTATTTTATCATCTTGACCTGTGAAATAACGTTTAAATGTTGACCTGTTATTAATGACCTAAATTTTAAAATTATTTTATCCTTTTGACCTGTGAAAATTTAAGCCAAAGTTTGAGACTTTTAGAAATAAAAAAAAATTATTGAAAAAATTGGTCAAATTTTAAAGTTACTTTGACATTATTAATTATTTTGACCTAAAATTTATGCCTAAAATTGAAACTTTGAAGTTAAATTTTTTAATTAAAAATTTCAGAGTTACTAATAATACTTGACCTAAAATTTTAGTCAAATTTTTGAGACTTTAAGAATAAATAAAGAAATTCATAAAAAAAATCAAATTTTTAAGTTATTTTGACTTCATTTTGACCTGTACTTTGAGATTATGTTCTTTTTTCTGCAATTTTAGGTGTTTAAAACTTTGTAAAATAATTTAAAATTAACTGAAATTTTCTTCTTTTTTAGGAAGCGATAGGAAATAAGGAAACACATTTACTACAATGTCATGGTGATTGTGATCCAATTGTTCCTTACAAATGGGGACAATTGACAGCAACTGCAATGAAGCAATTTATGACAAATACCGAGTTCAAGACCTATCGAGGTTTAATGCATTCGTCTTCTGATGAGGTAATTTTTCTGAACGCAAAAAAATTTTAAAAAGAAATAAATAACAATTATTAAAAAAAGAATTCCATTTTTGCATATAAGTTTAAAAATTTATTTTTCAATTTAAAAAAGAATATAATTGTTAATAATTTTTAACTATTTTTATTTACTATTATTATAATTAATAATTATTAATTAGCACTATAATCAATTATTATTGTTCGTAATTAATAAAAAATTATTAAAATTAATTAACGATTATTATAATTAATTATTATAATTAATTGTTACTGTAATTAATTATTATTATTATTATTGGTATTAATATTTTAATTAACTACCATTGTGATTAATTATTATAATTTATTATTTTTTTTTAATAATAATTAGTTCATATTATTGTAACTACTATTAACAATGATTAAACATTCTAATTAATTTCTTTTTTTACAGGAACTCCTAGACATAAAGAAATTTATCGAAAAAACTACAAAGTAACTTTTAAATGAATGGCATTTATATATAAATTATTCGCCACCCTAAATTGTACGTATAATAAGTACTGAGAAAATAAGAAAAAAGCAAAAAAAAAAAAAAAAAAAAAACTATTTCCAACTTTAATATTACAATGTATTTAAAACTAGTAACTCGTTGACGAGTTTAAAATCAATCTAAGTGAAAAATTCCATCGTCTCTATATAAAGAACAGCAAAAAGAAATAAAAAAATCAATACGTAGATTGATAAGTAAAATGTCTTTCTATTAAAATGAAAACTAATCTCTCTTATTGCTTAAAATTAGAAATCTTAATTGCTATTATTGAATCCTTAATTTACAAGATCAAAATAAGAAAAAAAAACAAAGAAAATTGAAAAATATATTTTTCTGACACTTTAATTTAGAAAAAAGAAACAACAATAATTCACTAGTAGAAGACTGAAATTATTGTTCTTTACTTATCCTAATAGGCTTCAATTTCATAGCAGAAATCTTCCAAAAAAAAATACTAAGTTTTTTTAAAATTTATTTTTTCGCAAATTTCATATTTGTCTTCGCTATTTTTGCCAAAGTTTTTGGATTCTTTTTTTTTTAGAGAATATATTTTAATTTAATTAATGCCAAACATTCCTGAATGCATTTGGTGTGGAGTCAAAAAAAAAATACTGTCAAAGAAAGAAAAAAAGTTTTGTAAACAAAAAATATTTTACTACAAACAATCATATTTTGCTGACAAATAAATACTTTATAGGAATGTTTTATTTGTTCGTTTTCTAAAGAAAGTTTTTCTATCTTAAATATTGTGAAATTAGAAAATTTTGTTATATTAAAAACGTTTTTTTAATTTTGAAAATTTTTTTTATATTAAAAGAGCTCTGCATAAATTTAAATTACTTTTATGGTTGGAAAGAAAGATTTTTTTGTTGTTGAAAATAAATATCTCTTTTTTTTCTTAATAAAAAATTTTTCAATAAGCAACAGATTCATTGAGTTGGAAAAGAATTTTTAAATAAATTTATTATGTAATCGACGAATTTTTTTAATATAAAAAAAAACTTTATTGTGTAAGAAAAGCTTTTTTTCTAAGGTAAGAATAGATTTTTAAAAAAAATTTTTTTTAAGTGAGAAAAAATTTTTATGAAAACCGTTTTAAAAAGAGTTTTATAAAGTAAAAAAATTCATTCAAGACAAGATTTTTTAAGTAAAAAAAAACTTTTAAAGAAAAGCTTTTTAAATGATAAAAAATTTTGAAAAGTTTTGTCAGATTAAAAATGCTTTTTTAAAAATCCAAAACTTTTTTGAGTAAACATTTTTGTTCTGTAAGAAAAGCTTCTTATTATGTAGAAATGTTTTTCTGTAAGAAAAGCTTCTTTTGAGTAGAACTGATTTTTCTGTATGAAAAGCTTTTTTGAATTGAACTTTTTCGAATTGAAAAGCTTCCTTGTTGATTAAAAATTATTTCTTAATTAAAAAAGGAATATTTAAAAAATTTTTTAAATGTTTTTGAAATTTAAAAAATGTTTTTTAGTTAAAAAAAAATGTTTTTTAGTTAAAAAAAAATGTTTTTTAGATAAAAAAAAATGTTTTTCGAAATTAAAAAAATGCTTAACTTAAAAAAAAGAAATATTTTTGAAATTAAAAAAAACTTTTTTTAAAAATTAAATTGCCATTGTAATTGTAATATAAATTTTTAAAACTTTATCCCGCGTATAAATAAACAAAAAAAAAAGAGTCAAAATAAATTTTTTTCTTTGAAAGTAAATTTGACTATTTTGTGACGAGTGGTATTTAATTTAATTATTTTTTTGTTTGTAGAAGAAAATTGATAAAACACTGTACTTAGATATCAGATGTAATCAATTTCATGCGCTACACTTTATATATATATATAGAAAATTTTACAATGACTGAGAATGTAATCATTTATATACAAAAACTTCGTAATGTTAATAGAAATATAATTATTCTGCAAAAAAAAAAAATTTAAAAAAAACATTATCATTATTCTTACTACTCGAATATTGTATAAAAAAAAATTATCACGCTTACATGAATCTTCTAATGATTCAAACAAAATTTCTCATAATGATATATATTAGGTATATAGTCTGATCAGGTTCCACTTAGTGCGTGCCTCTGAATATTTTCAAAAGAAGAATAAAAAAAAGTTAAAAAAAAAAATTAGTGTAAATTAATTTTTTGCAGTTTAGTCTTCAACGATCGACAATGAAAAACTTGTTTTAACAGATATGTAAATATGTATTTAGAATAAAAACAATTTTTCTGAAATTAAAAGCCTCTTTTATTTTTTAATTATTATAAGTAGTACGTACTAATTAATTAATTAATTAATTACTTACTTAATTACATAAACAAACTTAATATTTATTATATTTTCAGGTCTTTTGTCTGAAATTATCAGTCGGTAAAATTTCAATTCTCGAAAAAAATTTAGTTTCTTTAATAATTGTTATTAACAATACTCAGTTTTCCAATTTACGTAAAAGAAAATATATTGGAATATATATATTTTTTTAATAATCATTTCTCCTTTCTTTTTGAAATATTCTTTATCTTTATTTGTGAAAATTTAATTTTTTTAATTGGTTCTTTTTTCAAACAATTTCACGTAATCGTTTTGTATTTATGAAAAAGAAAAAGAAAAAGAAAAAGAAAAAGAAAAAGAAAAAGAAAAAGAAAAAGAAAAAGAAAAAGAAAAAGAAAAAGAAAAAGAAAAAGAAAAAGAAAAAGAAAAAGAAAAAGAAAAAGAAAAAGAAAAAGAAAAAGAAAAAGAAAAAGAAAAAGAAAAAGAAAAAGAAAAAGAAAAAGAAAAAGAAAAAGAAAAAGAAAAAGAAAAAGAAAAAGAAAAAGAAAAAGAAAAAGAAAAAGAAAAAGAAAAAGAAAAAGAAAAAGTAAAAGTAAAAGTAAAAGTAAAAGTAAAAGAAAAAGAAACAGAAAAACAAATTTTTAAGTTTCGAAAAACTGTCCGAAAAGATTCAATAAATATAAATTCACTAAAAGAAATTCTTAATGACGTTGGAAATTAGTCATTTTGAAGGAAAATTAAACTAATTTGCATATTAGAAGAATAATATTCTAAACTCGTAAAGAATCTAATTATCCCGTGAAGTCAGACAGACCATCTTTCAAAGTTGCAAACTAGAGGCAATCTTGTCCAACACAACGAGATCCGCCTCTATTTTAACACATAGTCCTTCTTTTTCGTCTCTCTTCTTTTTTCCCTTCCTTCTTCGACTTAAAAATTCCCTCTTTTCTAACTAAATTAAACATTTTTTTTTTAAAAATACAGCAAACATTTTTTTCTTTAGTTTTTTTCTTTTTCTTTCCAGCAGTTAAAGAAAATATTACATCAGACAAAAATATATTTGAAAAATTCGTTTTTTAAATGTCCCTTCGCTCATTTCTTAGAATTTTGAAATTTTGAAAATTAATTTGTTTATTCTCATGTTTTTTTTCAAATTATTTTCTTCGATTCAGTAGTAAAACTAGTTTTTAGTCTTGAAGTATTTTAAATTAATTTTTTTTTGTTTTTATGTTTCTTTCAAATTAATCTCTTTCGATTCAGTGAGAAAATAGTAGAAACCATTGTTTCCATTAATAAATTTTCTGACACTCTTTTAAAAAAATAAGAAATTGAAAGAAAAATGTTTTTTCCCATATTTCTAACTAAACTTCTTCTTCGCTTTCTTCCCAGTAGTAACAGAATTCTTTAGTCAGACAAAAATAAAATTTAGTAAATTGTTCTTTAAAAATCTTCTTTCTCTCATTATTCTTAGTCTTTTGAAATTAATTTTTTCTGTTTTCATGTTTTGTTCAAATTAATTCCTTTCGATTCAGTTGTAAAACTAATTTTTAGTCAGACAAGAGAAAATACTAGAAACGATTGTTTTCAAAAATAAATTTTCTTAAATAAAAAATTAAAAGAATAATGGTTTTTTTAATTCTTCTAACTAAACTTTTTCTTCTCTTTCTTCGCAGTAGTAAAAGAATTCTTTAGTTAGACAAAAATAAAATTTAAAACATTGTTTTTTAAATCTACTTTCTCTCATTTCTTAGTCTTTTGAAATGTTTTAAATTAATGTTTGCACTCATGTTTTCTTTTCAAATCAATCAGAAATTCAGTAGTAAAAGTAGTTTTTAGTCAGACAAGAAAAAAAACAAGAAATAACATTTGTTTCGATTAATAAATTTTCTTTCACTCTTACAAGATAAGAAATTGAAAGAAAAATGATTTTTCAAATTGACTCCATCGATTCAGTAGTAATACCAGTTTTTAGTCAGACTATTTGCTAACTAAACTAAAAAATTTTCTTCTGTTTCCTGTGTTTCTTTGCAGTAGTTAAAGAATTCTTTAGTCAGACAAAATGAATTTCAAAAATTTCTTTTTTAAATCTTCCTTCTCGAATTCCTTCGTTTCAGTAGTAAAACTCGTTTTTAGTCAGACAAGAAAAAACAAGAAAAATGTTTCCATTCATAAATTTTCTTCAGCCCTTTCTTCGTTTCAGTAGTAAAACTAGTTTTTTGTCAGACCAAAAAAAAAAAAAAAAAACAAGAAACCTTTGTTTTCTTATTAATAAATTTTCATCATTCCTTTCAAATCATGACATTGAACATTTTATTTTTGATCACTTTTTTCTAACTAAACTGAAACTTTTTAAAAAATTCAGAAAAACCTTTTTCTTCCTTTTTTGTTATTCATCGCAGTAGTTAAAAAATTCTTTAGTCAGACAAAATAAATTTTAAAAATTTGTTTTTTAAATTTTCTTTCTCTAATTTCTTAATCATTTAAAATTTTTGAAATTTATTTTTTTGTTCGCATGTTTTTTTAAATTAATTCCTTTGTTTCAGTAGAAACTCTAGTTTTTAGTCAGTCAAAAAAAGACAAAAGAAATTTGTTTTCATTAATGAATTTTCTTTCACTCATAAAAAATAAGAAATTCAAATATAATTTTCCATCATTCTCTTATTTTCCTAACTAAACTAAAACTTTTCTCTTCTGTTTCTTCTTTTTCTTCGCAGTAGTTAAAGAATTTTTCAGACAGACAAAATCGTTAGCAAATTCGATTTCTAAATCTTCCTTCTCTAATTTCTTAGTCCTTTTGAAATTTTTGAAATTCATTTTTTGCACTGATTGTTTTTTTCAAATTATTCCCTGCTTTAAATTGAGTAGTAAAAGTAGTTTTTAGTCAGACAAGAAAAGAAACAAGAAACATTTTTTTCCATT